ATTATGCCATTTATATACAGTACCTTTTTAATCCAGTAACTAATTTATCAACCTGTGACAGAATGCACATCAGCATAAGCAATATAAAAAATACCATAAGTAAAAGAGACCTAAGGCATTGCCTAGTCTTACATTCCCTTCCACTGATGCGGACCACTGCAAAAGCAAGAGAGCATCAGAGAGGCTTACTGAACTTTCAATGCAATTTCTAATTTGGTCTACTGAGAATTCTCCAGTCAACTCAAACGGGAGAAGTCAGTGCTCAAAAATAAGTTCCCTGCTAAAGAGATGGGAATCGAGTAACTGAAGACTTATTTGGGGAAGCAGAGAGGAAAGAGATGCAACAGTCATGAAGGGTGAGGATGGAAACTTAGATGTAGTTGTTCCCCAAATACCACTGGAGCCATCGGTGAGAGGGTAAGGCAGCTGCTTCTTCCTTCGTCATTGTTGCAACCAATAACTCTATTCCTTTTATCACTGCTCCCAGACTCTGTGGCTGGCTGGTGCAGCTTTTATCTCAAACCTAAGGCATTAGTGAGCTATCGATCACTGTAATATTAGTCCAGTGAAGCTCAGCAAAGTCAATTCCTTTGCTCTATTTTTAGTTGCAGTATTTCCCATTGGGTTTGCTGCCTGCGGGACCAACATATGGAAGGGGCATCAATAAACACTTACACAGGCCTTGTTTCTCTTTTCTTCTTTAAACGGGATCTACTTTTTGTCGACACTTTGGGGAATACCAAGGAAACAATTTAACATTATAAGACAATCTTGCAGAAAGTATGCTGAGCTGTGATGGCGTAAGCTAACACAGAAAATACCAACAGCAGATGAACATAGGGAATCAATAATTCCACCAAAGAAAAGACAGGAGGGGTGGCATTGCTAGTGAACACTGTTTTAGTAAAAGTGTGCATACACATGCTTCATGATATTGATTGTCCCTCGATCTTTGAATGTCTTACAATTAACTAATTAGACACTTGGAAGAAAATCATTAGTCTACCAAGAGGTTTTGTTAATAGATGTTTTTCAGTCATTTGCAAAGTCATGGCTTATTTCTCACTAGAGTGCAGTAAGAGGTTTTCTGTTCTTTCTCAGGAAGCTCTCCCCAGTGCAGCCCTTATACTGGATGATTTCATACAAGTGACAGAGCTAAACGTGCAGAGGAAGGACACTCATCCCTCATGTGGGGAAAAAAAGGTCAGGCTGAATGAGAAAATAGCAAAGAGCCACCTGAATTGATGAATCTAAATTTGCATACATCTAAAATACGTACTTAATGCAAGTCCAAAGAGCCACCTGAATTGATGAATCTAAATCGACATACATCTAAAATACATACTTAATGCAAATAAGGTCTGCTTCCATTGATTTAAAATGGCTCGGTCATGGGTTAAAATTTTTAAAGAGCCGTTTCTCATTTTACCCGATTATATATCTGGTAGAGTTTACTGTGGTCAGCACAGTCACACCCATGTCAAGCCCAGAGTAAGTGAGAAGACCAAGGTTTGGGAGAAATGAGACTTCATTACTAATACTGACTCAGCTGTATTACTTAGCTAGAAGAGCTCAGTTATCTTTAGACCTGTGCCTGGTTCATTGTCCACTTACAGTGTCACACCTCATAGCGCTGCCTTCAGAAAGGGAACAAATGCCCAGAGAGAGAAAATTTATAGATATTCGTGTAAGGGCTACTAAAAGACCACCATAAAGGTGATTAAAAAATTGCTCATTCCACTGGCTAATTTCAGTGCCGCAAGGCAGAGATGAAGTCAGTACAAGTTTGATCTTTGTATAATCATCCTTGAAAAGGTGGATGAAGTCTGACATGCAGAATCAGCTTCTGCAATTCTTAGATCACTTCTAAAACCCCCAGGTTCTCCTTTGAGCCAGGCTAAGAATGAGGGAAATCAGAAAGCTGTTCACATCTAGTCTCTCTTTCTGCCCACATCTCTGATTTTGTCCTTCCTACCTGTTTAAGTAAAAGGAAATGAGTCTAACGCCTTCAAAAATCACTGCTGGATTTGAAACTCAGTGTCAGTGGGTAATCTGTCTTCTTTGGCATTGTCTAGCTAAGAAAATTTTATTTAGGAAGAGAAATACTTTCCTTGGGCCTGATTCTGAGTTTCTTTTGCTAAATATTTTGCTAAATACCTGTCCCTGTGAAATACACTGGTACTTAACAAACTCGATTTCAGGAGGTGTCTGTGAATCCCAGGGGATATTCTTAACTCAAGGCTCTGACAAATGGCTGTCTGAGATCAGTTACACCCCACTTCTGGTGCCATGAACTGGAGGGTGATTTCTTTGAACATTAGACACAAATCAACAATTTTGCACTTCCATCTCTGAAAGCATTTCTCTCTCTCTCTTAATGAATGATCCCAAAGCACACACACATTCCTGCTTGTAGTGAGCAGTAACTGGTTTTCCTGTTTGGAAAAAAGTGTTTCCCACCAAAGCCATTCAAAAGCAGGTGCAACTTTCTCCTTCTGCAATAACCCATGTGAGTTGGCAGAAGAGGCACTTTTCATTACCGCAGATTTCACATCAGATAGGGGTGAAAATGTGTTTTGTTTCAGGCACCCACTCAAGCAGAGGGCTGAGCCACCAGAGCACTTCCAACTGTTTTCACACAATCATCAGAAACGGCTTTAAAAGGTGACTTTTCTCTTAAATGGGTTTGTTTCAAGTCGTATTTCCCTAACAAAAGCCTTTGAGTAAACAGTGCACTTTTCTTCTCAAGTACGTCTTATGCTTATAAAAACACACTATTTATTATTTGTATTGCCCTAACAGCCACTGTTAACAGGTGCCTCGTTACACTGGGAAGATGGTGTCTCCAAAACTGCTTTAACTGCTGTTAAAGCACTTTTTCCTACACCACCCTCAATATTCCCATTATCGAATTACACTTTTGTACGACCTTTTTGTATTATTACTGGGGTTCTGTCGTTCGTAGATCAAACTAACTATCCCTTAGAAAGTAGAAAAGGGGCTGAAAGGATACATTTAGGATTCCTGGGAACACTTGGTGGCTGCAGCTCCAGGTTCCCTGGATTTAGTGCGTCCCTTCCCTTCCTTTTCAACACCCGGCTGCTCTCACCCCGAGCCTGCGCTCACCAAGTGGGCAATTACTATTTTAAGAAACACTAAGTGCCCCGGGCTCCCCGCCAGCCGCAGGGCTCCGGCCGGCCGCCCCCGCCTCTCCCGGCGCCGGGGGACGTGGCGGAGCCCCCTCCCTTCCCCGTCCTCCCCGACGGGCTTTTCTCTTAAATGGGTTTGTTTCAAGTCGTATTTCCCTAACAAAAGCCTTTGAGTAAACAGTGCACTTTTCTTCTCAAGTACGTCTTATGCTTATAAAAACACACTATTTATTATTTGTATTGCCCTAACAGCCACTGTTAACAGGTGCCTCGTTACACTGGGAAGATGGTGTCTCCAAAACTGCTCTAACTGCTGTTAAAGCACTTTTTCCTTCACCACCCTCAATATTCCCATTATCGAATTACACTTTTGTACGACCTTTTTGTATTATTACTGGGGTTCTGTCGTTCGTAGATCAAACTAACTATCCCTTAGAAAGTAGAAAAGGGGGTGAAAGGATACATTTAGGATTCCTTGGGACACTTTGTGGCTGCAGCTCCAGCCGGTTCCCTGGATTTAGTGCGTCCCTTCCCTTCCTTTTCAACACCCGGCTGCTCTCACCCCGAGCCTGCGCTCACCAAGTGGGCAATTACTATTTTAAGAAACACTAAGTTCTTAAAATAATAACACTTGCCGAGTGCTTTGATCCTCACGTTGGATGGAAGGCTCCAGCGCCGGAAAAGCTGCCACCAAGTACGTCGAGGATACATTTCCAAGACATCAAACTATCTCCCAACTGCTGTATTTTTTCTATATTTTTATATCTTTACCACACAATTAGGTACAATTCGGGGTGGAGAGAAGGGTGCTTAGAGCAGCACCGTCCTCCCAG